GCGGTACCGGCGGAAACTCATCATCTATGGATGTGGAGACTTTGTGGATGATTACGCGTTGAACGGGGAGTATCGGAATGACCTTGGCGCTGTATGGAGGGTTTGTGTGAGAGAGGAGCAGGATGAGGAGAGTCCTGCCCCGGAGAGTTGCAGGTTGGTGTTGGATCGATTGGAGATCTTTCCGACCCGTTGCGATCGTTTCCAGGTGACTTTGTTGGATCCGGATGATGATGATCATGGCTGGGTGAAGAGGAAGATTACCCGGTTGAGCGAGGACATGGGGACCAAGGTGTGTGGGGATCTAGGGAGGGAGCATCAGATTGTAGTCGACCTGAGGGATTGATTGATGCGATATGCGCATTCATCATTGGCAAAATCTTGCAGGATCCCGTGCCCAAAGACGAGTGGGATACTTTTAAGGACAACTAAGATTTTATCATCAAAAAGCCAAATCCGTTATCTGGATCTCAAGAAAGAACCGCTGTCATGATAAGAATTAAGGAATTTACCGAGATCTATCTAAATAAGACAATGAGCAGTGAGCTCTCATCTGTAGTACAACGCCAGAGTAGCAGAGATCATGAAATTGGTAAGTGGAGGAAGGGTGAACAAATGGAACGACAAACGCCTCCGCTGAGGTTGCTCCGACAGGTCGCAAAGGTCGCGATAAAGAAAACCATGGGCTTTTCCGGAATTACACAACTCCTGTGTATCTTGCTCAAACATACTGAAATGGTATCTTGCCAACAAGGTAAATTTTTGCGCCAGGTGAAAGAAAGACAAGAAGGAAAAGAAAGAAGGGGGAAGTCATGTGAGATGATGGTAATGGGACTGTTCATCACACGCCCAGTTCCGCCAACTCTCGCTCTTTAGCGCGGAGCATTTCACGCATCTCCTCCGCCTCACGCTGCAGTTTTGCTCGACGGTCTTCTTTGAGGCCTTCAAGTTCAGATACGCCGGGCAACGGCTGCGATGGCGGGTGAGGTGCCAAGGGCGTCGCTTTGTGGCGCTGCTGTTGACGGCTAAGAGCAGCGAGCGACGGGTCTAAGCGGGATTCGTCGTGTGGGCCTGAGTGGTTAAGGAGAGTGGAAATCGAGCTGAGACGGCCGGGGGGGGAGGGGTTGACAGTTGCCATGATGGGAGGAAGTTGATTGGAACCCGACTCCAACGTCGTCGGGATGGAGGAAGTCTCGGCGGATGAAGCGGTCTCCGCAAGCGTTCGCTTCTTGGCATTTCCGGAAGCACCTGGGGAGATAGACCGACGACCGAACTGTGAAACGGGAGAATGACTCGGTGCGCTCAGCCGTTCAGGCTCCAGGAGTCTCGGGGGGGGAGGGTGATGCGGTAAGGAAAGACTCCCGGTGGCACTGAAGTGAGTGAAATCCACGGGAGGCGGGGCAATGGCAAAATGTCGCTGGTGGTTAGCCTGCAATGTTGGGTCCGAACTCAAGTATCGGTAGTGGTCATCATGGCCATGAGCCAAAACCGCAGGAGACGCCTCTGGCGACGCAGACGAACCATTGGACGAATAGGTAGCTCCACTGGGAGATTGGTCTCTCAAGGCAGGCACAACACGTTTTCGTCGTTTGATGATGGACTTCTTCATCGTGGTGGGTCGGTAGCAACCATGCAATTTGTAGTAGAGCCCTAATAAACAAACGGACGTTAGTATATTGGCTTATCACAAGATTGGCCGAAATTCAACGTACCACAAGCATTGCAAATGGGATGTCCATTTTCGTCCCGTCGCCAAAGTGGGGTCACAGTGGTCCCGCAGTTTTGACAGGAGACCAGCATGTTTCCTCCCTCGACTGGTGCGCCATTCTTTCCCGCATCGGTTTCACCTCCTGGAAGAGGTCGGTCGGACTCTGAATTGGTAGTTCTCCACGAATGGACGGGAACTGTGCCTCGAGCAGCGGACTTGTAAACTCGGTTGTTGTAGGCAGGGCAACCATCGCATCCCTCGGCTCCGCCAGTCCCATTGCAATTTCCTCCACCAGGACAAGAACCACCTCCCGAGTTAGATTGACAGAGCCCCTGTGAAGCCGGCTCGCTCTGGGTATTCGCATGATCGATTTGTTGCACGTCCGCTTCGGAGCCTGGTTCCAAGCGATTGCGTTTGGTCGGCCTGGCCACGTTCCTTGCTTTCAAGTATAGGCCGCACGCATTGCAAATCATCGCTCCCGTCGGTGATCGTCGCCATAGAGGAGTGCTCTTCGTCCCACAGTTGCTAGAAATACAAGTCAACACAACGAAACTCGAAAGACGATCGAATGTGAAATATACGGACCTGCAGGAATGTCCCAAGAACGATGTGTCTTTCTGCGCCTTCGGTGATGTCGAGGTCTTCTCAGCTGGAGGAGCGGTGCTTTGTGGTTCAGACCAACGTTGTGCCGACCCATTCATTGTCGTTTCCATTTGATACCGAGCAGGCGCTGTCCCTTCCTCATCTCGATGACGATCCGCGGCGTGTTCTCGGCCAGCTTGGGCCGAAGATATCAGCTGTTGGGCAGCGTCCAGATCCTCCGCTGAAGGGTGCCGCGCAACGACATCAGGGTTCCGAGGAAGCGATCGTACCGAGTCCATCTGGGGGACCGAAGCAAGCATCGCCACTATTAAACCTCACCCGGCTATATCCTGTCTCTGGACGAGAATCAGCCCTGTATGGCGGTGTTCCTTGGTAGCAATCGAGGCAGACCGGATAGCCGTGTCGTGGATGGTACGTCGCACCACCGGCGTAATGTATGGTATCACAGAAGACAAGCGTCGGTCAGGATAATAGTACAGGCGAATAGGTATAAAGGACGCCCCCGAGAAAAAGAAAGTTCGTAGTGGAAAGGAGCTGCAGCTAGTGCAACCCAAACCCAACAGAACGGTGCAGGGGAGTTTGACTACTGGCCGATCCTTGACAACTGCAGGAAAGGCGCGCAAGTATCTCAAAAAGTTGAGCGATCAAAAAAGAAATGTCGGCCAGAGTCAATACTCTGATTATCAATAACTGATCCGCCACGAAGGGTCCGCTTTGTTGGCCAATCCGAATGACAGGTCGAGGTGGCGATCCAGTCGGGTTTGCCAAGTCGTCCGGACCTGTCAGATTCTCGTTCAGATAAAGGATAGAAAAGTGATCCGAAACTGAAAAGAGAGCTTGACGAGCAGAAACTATTAGAATGACGAAGAGAAATAAACAGAAAATTCTCAGGTGCAGCAGCCAAGTGGTTGGGAGAAGAGGGAGAAGGGCAAGAAGATAGGATCGGCCTGAGGCGATCCACTCCGAGCAATGGAATGTCACTGGGAAAGAGTGACAGGTAGGAGTTGGGAGTTTGGGGTATGCAGAGACTGGGAACTAAAAGAGATAAAGGGGAAAACAGAGAGGAGACTAGCGAAAATGAGGAGTGGGAAAAGCTAGGAGAATCGTGAAGTGCAGAAGATTGATGAGATCGATAGACTGATTTGATTGATTAGACGGGAGGTACGTACTTTGTAACGCAGATCAAATGATTGATTGATTGATAGATAGAGGAAAAGGGACGGAAGGGAAAAAAGTGGGTAACGCCCAGGCGGTCACGATGACGATAAATGCTAATAAGTAGAAGCTTTGGAGTTGACGGATCTGATGGAGGATGATGACAAGATAGATGAGATGACGATTATGATGAGGATGATGATGATGACGGGTAATAATAATGACTCTTAGATGATTGTGAAGACGACAATTTGCCCTGCTGTTGCAATTGCTGCTGCTGCCTGAGGTTCTTATCGGTTATCGATCTCCCAGGGGGATCTACCTTCACCTGGGGAGGACAGATCCTGTTGTGCTGCAGGTTGTCTAGATATCCAAGTGGTTGGGATTCCTCGAGAAAGAAACTGTTGGGTCCAGATGATTCGGTTCGCTCGTTCGACTCTCTGTGCTCACTTGACTAATGGTTCCTGATATTTTTCTTTTCCCTCCCTCATTTTGCCGTTGATCTCTTTTCCTCATTGCGTCTGCTTTTCCTCCCCCGGATCGAATCATCTGGACCCCACCGATGCCTGTTCTGGGCTAGTCTTATGGGTCTACCAGGAATGTGCCTTCCTCCTTTAGTAAGTAGCGTATCCGTGATCGAATAAGCCTGTTTGTTCTTGCTGCTATTGGTGAATGTCGTTCAATCCCTCATGTCAGCTTTTTTCTAGAGATTCTGATTGGCTATAGATGTCTTTCTATCTCTTCGCTGAGTTTCTAATCTATCGCATCAGCTCCACCGTCTGGGATTATTCTTACCTAACCTAATATATGGTCTCGGCATTCATAGTCTAAGAATTCAGGGTTCGTCGTGAAAATCGACAGTAGTGGAATACCATCATGCATCACATGTTCTGTGTATAGCAATCATAAAACATTTCCCTATCTGCCTTTTGTAATGAGTCTTAGAACATGCTGAAAGTCTGCGAGCCAAGCTAGGCTGCAAGAGGTTCTGTTGAGATTAATGGCGCCACTATAATATCTGGGAAGCCTTGGAATATGCCCTTTTGCAAGCTTCCGCATTGTTTTGTGTTGGTGGAAGATCTTGAGGTGGTGTTTGACAGGCACCTCTTGCTTCGATTATCGTCTAACCAGTCTTGTTAGCCACGGCGTGTGCTAGTGTAGCTTTTCCACACGACAACTGATATTCAACCATATATTATCTACATATGTAATACAGGGTTCACAAGAAAAAGTTTTTGTCCGCAAAGGACAATTTAAAAGGAAAAAGAGCTCCAAAGGTGACAACATCAAGGCTGTTTCAGACCAGCGCTTCCACTCAAGGTGAGATGGGTATACTGGTTCGATTACGTCACTTGAATCGCAAGGCGAATATGTATCATCACACTCATCGATCATCGTCAAGCGCATTATAGAGACACCGTTCTTGGAATGCCGCAAAGTTTTCAGCCTTGCAGCTCAAAGTACGGTTTCTAGAGGACCCGGGATAACAGCAATCGTGTAGTATCCGGGAGATCATGTGTTCCAGGTTCCGCAAAGCTTAGACCTGTTCCGCACCCCAGCCCTGGTCGGCCTCACGCATGTTGGATGGAGGTTCGATGGAAGGAATGAAGTCCAGGACAATATATCCCAGACCGACGAACCCAACGATAGAACCGGCAATGTACCGCAGCACGTGGCCGTGCAGCAGGATCGATCCAACGAAGACGTAGACTGAGAATACTTGTAAGAACGCTACCAAAAAGAAATGCCAAGCCAAGAAATCTCAGGAACTTACAGACACCCCGTCCCAGGAACGAGAAGAGGAAAGACGCATAGCGATAGACATAATCTGGAACAGTGGGCATCAATTCCAGGCCGCCGACGACTAAGAGACCACTGTGTCAGCAATCACATACTCTAGTCTGGTAGTCAAATCAGATTGTCTGGGAACTTACCGAGACCGAAGATGATCACGTAGGCACCAACAATTACGGAACCTAGCGATGCAGGGAAGAATTGAGCAATACCACCAAGGATCATAATCACGCCAATGGCGATGTTGACAATCCGGCTGGAGGGAGTCAGTTACAGTTTCAAAATTGGGCTCGTCATATTGCTTCGAGATTAGCAGGGTACAGCGACGTACAAGATGTTAGAGAAGTCCATTTCGAACGATGTTTGCACGAATTATGTCCGTCGGTGGTCGAGCGCAAGCACTTGGCGTTTAGAGGAGATATAATGTATGGAACCGTAAAATCGCGAGGTCGAAGCACGATGCTGTAGCGATGTGCGCTCAAGGGAATGGCAGCGTTGAAAGCTTCGTCTGCTTGCTGAAATCACCAGTCTGGCTGAGCGGTGAAACTGATGGAAATGTCGTAGCCTGCGCCGTCAAAATGCAGTTGCCTAAGGTGGGAAAATAGTCGATCGCGTAACGTATCTCGGAGTTCTCAATGCGGTGGTCGAGTAAGACTCGTCAAAAGGTTCGGACGGAGAGGGTCAAAAGGAGGAGAGGTTGGGAAGACAAGGAGACGAGCAACTGACGGGGATTTGGAGCTTCTTGGTTCCCGTCAGTAGTCGCAACCAGCGGGTCCGCCAAGCCTTTGACGGTGGCTGACTCACCCGTAGCTGCCAGCCACTGACAGTGGCCAAGACAATTCACGTGACAGACTGTGGACTCCACCATACGAAAACTATCTACGAGTGGCTTAACATCAACTATCCAAGCTTCCAAAAGGCTTTACAATTCGGTTCTGCATCAGCCAAATGGCCAGACAAGTAAATTATCAGATAGGGTATCTTCATATTGCAGATCCAGGCTTATAGTGACTCCGTACCGAGCAGAATAGAAGCCGTTACTGGTATTGATAGTGAGGAAAGGCAGCAGTTCAATACTGCAGAGAACATGGTTTTCGATATCTATCACGGCGACCGCCCACTCCTCATCTTTGTTTTTTGCTTCCTCAACACCGGTCGTGGCATCTTTTTGAGTACAAGAGACATCGCCCTCCCCTGGAGAATCAAACAAGAAGTTCTCGTGTTATCAAGGTCAAAGTTAGAACCACTCCGCTTGCGAGAATAATGGATGATCAACCTCTCCCGCGGCGCGGCTTTCCTTGAAATCTTGAGCTGGAAATTGACCCAATTTCATTCATTTTGACGTTGCAGTCCCGGATGAACTGAAGGCTGAAACACATGTTTGGGTCCCAGGGTATCAATTGCTTAACTGCGCTGAATGTGGCCTGAGCTCCTCATATGCGGAATCAAACTCCCTTCAACTCTCGTTGCTTCTTATCCAACCGCACATGGGACAATCCATTTGCCAGTCTGCTCATCCTCATTGAGTCTCGATTCAGGCTTTCATAGATTGCCTCGAGATCTGTACCGATACCAAGCTCCTCCGCCGTCTTGAGACTGCGCGCATCCAAGAAGGGGGCCATGGGTGGCCAAACGCTTTGTGCGTTGTTTAGAAAGAGATCGACACCCAGGTCACCCAATCCTTTGATCTCCTTGATCAGATCTCTGGTCTTTTTGCAGTCGTTTCCAGCTTTTTTTAGAAGATTATTAAGGTCACCGTCTAGACCATGGTCAGCGTACTGGAAGAACCAGTCTGATCTGAAGGAAGGGGATGCGTACCGTACTGCCCATTGACAAAGTCCGCCAAATCGCCTAGGTTTGTAGCACCTTGCTCTCGATACCGATTATAACCCCCATCCTTTAGCACCAACGTCCTTTCCTCCCAACTACTCTCCCCCAGCTTTCGGATATCATGATATCCTTCGTCAATCAGCTTATTCACCGCACGCTGCGAAAGATCATGCGAAATCGGCCGCGACTTCAACATTGCGTCAATCACCATCGCAAGTACCGTCTCCGGAGACGCAGTGAGCGGCTCCTTCGCAAGGGAAGTACCCTCGAGTGGCTGGCGGCCAAACTCCTCGATAATCTTGTGCACTTTCGGTGATTCCGAGAGTTTAGCATGCTCCTCATCTTCAGATTGTCCTTCAGCACCCTCCAAGCCGCCTTCTTCGTTTTGATTTTGCTTTGCGCCTTTTTTCGTGTCCCCCGCTTCGCCGGTGTTATGGTCCGCTTTGTTCTCCTCTTTAGAACTGGGGTTTCCACTGGTTGACTTGGATACTTTGTTCGGGGGTTGCTCTGAGTCGTCGCGATCCGATGTCTCGTGTACTTTGTGGTCTCGCTTGCGCTTCTCGGCGGCTGGGACTGGGCTGCCGTCGGTTTCGGAGTAGTCTTCTACGGCGGGAGATTTGTACTTCATCCTGCTGCGATTTCCTCTTCAAATGCGAGTATATCCTGGCTAGGCCAACAAGCTGTTCAAAGGGCAGCGAAATTGAAAGTTGCACTCGGTAAGCGTTTTAATTTGACAATGGAAAGTCCGGGGATGATTCCCCCGATAGTGATGACGTCGACATGATGATGACTGGACTCTCCTCTTTTGATCTGTCGCAGCACATTGGATGAGATATACTTTTCTCTTCAACTACAAAATAAACATTTCAGTAGTCACTCTTTGTAGTTATGTGCTTAAGTTATATGCATTGTTGCTGCCGAAGTTGTCCGTATCACAACTTCGCTTTACTCTTGCGCTGCAAGGCGGCATCAACCAACTTGACTGCCTCCGCGGCGCAACCGTACGAAGCTTGATATCCAAATCCTCCATGGCCATAGTTATGAACGACTGCTACCCCGTCGATCTTCTCCGCTTCAATACGAGTTCCGCCTTCTCTGAGAGGCCGCAATCCGACCCCGTGCCGGATAATGTCCAATCCTTCAATGCCCTGACCCTCTTTAACGAGCTGCGGGCACAGAGCAATTGCACGCTTCATAATCCGAACCGCTAGGTTAGGGTCGGGCAATGGATCCCACTGGTTCTTCTGATATGAGCCGCCGATGACAGTTCCACCGCCAGCGGCTCGAGTCATTATGTAGACCACCTCATCTTCACCATCATCGCACCCGGATATGGAAAACATGGCTCCAGGATCGTTGCGGACGACGACAATCTGCCCGCGAGCCGGATACAGCTTCTCGTCACATACTCCGCCCAGCTTCTTAGACGCGAGACCGGTGCAATTCACCACCACGTCGGCCTTCTTGCCGGAGTGGTGGGCGCTTGCAGCCTCCGTAACGTGCTTGAAGACGGCTCTTTTGAATACCACCCCGTTTTTTCGGCATTGCCCAACAAGCCAGGGGAGGTAGACGGCGGTGTTGATACAGACTGAGGTGAATTTCTGCGCGTTATCAATGCCAGGGGCTAGCTGGTCGACTGGAATGCTTTTGAACTGATTGAAAATCGTCAGCCGAGCACGTCATCAGCCCAAGGGCCTTCCTGATAGACAAAAACTCACGCCCGGAACAACGTCTTTGTACCACGGATTAGGTTGCACTAGCTCGGAGAACCATTGGCCAGTTGGTGATCCTTGGTCTTTGACTCGGTTGTATACAATCGTGTCTAGAATGGTCAGTTGGGACGTATTACTTCGTTAAGCGCTGGAGATGTACCTAGAAAATGGATCCCGGCCTCTGGGTGTTTCTCCGTCAGCTCCTTCAAAGCCGGCCATGTCTCTCGTTCCCACCTCTCATGAGGACTCCCGGATTTTCCCACACTTTCAAGCGATCAATCAGCGAAGGGACTTCAATTTGAGCCGAAAAAGAGACACCTACGGGAGATAGTTGGCTCCAGCCCATGGAGAACAATATTCGATATCGTAGTCTCCAGGCATATGTTTGGCAACTACGGTGATGCTGTTGGACGCATTCTGAGAAAGGAGATATGCAGTAGTAAGCCCTGACACTCCAGCTCTGTTCACTTGTTGTCAGCATGAGATCTCCACTAATTCCAGGTTACCTGGAATGATGGATGGCCGCCGAACTGGCATACCCCAGAATCACAATGGTATTTGTAGCCATTGTATCTTCTTACTCGAGGGAGTCAGTGATATAAGCAACAGTAAAGCAGCAGAAGAAGAATATAACAATAGAATCTAAGGATTTCAGGAAGAATGGGTCCATGAGTCAAAGATATACTCCTCTCCAAGCGGGGTCTCGGCACTACCTTCGTATCAGACAATGGGAGAGTCGATTAGATAAGATTGTCGCCTCCCGGAGTAATTTATGTATTCTTGGCTCGTAACCGAAGCATTTCGCATTGGTTTCGGTTGCGTATGGGCGGGTATTGTACCTTACCTACCTTGGCCGCGGAGGTCCGGGCGCTTGTGCTTGTATAGGTTACTTGTCCAATCACTGCTTTTATAATTTAAAAGTTTTCGATCTTTTGTGTTGTTTCAACCTCCATACCAATCATTTCACAGCCTCCATTCCTCATTGATTGCTCATATTATACAACTTTTGAGGATACGCATTAATTGATGGAGTTGTTAGCTGCCTAGTCTTACGTCCATAGGTTAAATAAGCACTTAACTGGGATCAGTGAGTCAAACAATCAAAGCAGTGAAATTCATTGTATTCGCGAATACAACACATTTCGTCATTGAGGAGATTTTACGTGTCAGCCACCAATAATCAGGCGTCCAGAGGCTCACCGCCTCGACCTCGGCCAGGGATTTTGTTCCACTTCTGCCACTTTTGTTACGTTTTCCTCCGCAAGTCCGGCCAAAAAGTCTCGCCGCGCGTGTGTTGTATACCAGGGCTATCTTCGCTCTGTACCTATTGCTTCACTATTTTCCTTTGTTTTCTCAACCCACAAATGGGTTGTTGTTGTCTATTCACTTGCGTCCGTATTCTAGATGATATAGACATTTCATCTTTCTCTCTCCTTTTCTCCTCCCTTCTTTCTCTCCTCCCCCCCTTCTTCTCAAGTCTTCTCCTGCCACCTTTATCCTTCTCTCCCTGCCGCTCCCGTACGTTGATCTACAGCATCAAATCAGCTATGGCGCAAGTAATTGCACCAATGTCTCCTCTACACCATCTGCCGGGCCCTTCTCAGGGTCAGTCCTTGGTCAGACAGACTACAAGCAACTTGCAGCGTAAACAATCCAAGTTTCCCTCCAAATACTCGTCTCCAAAACCAGTGGAATCAAACAATCCAGCTCCAAAGGAACAGGATCCGGGGGGAAAGTCCACAGAAGAATCAATATCAGCGGAGTCCGATTGCGATGAATTAGTACCGAGTCGGTCGGCAGCAAAGATTCGAAGCAAAGAGGCAGTAACACAAAGCCTCGAAATTCCGTGTCTCAATGAGCTAGGACTCTATGCTTTCCCTACCAAGGGTGATGGTAATTTCTCCCTACATTGAGTCCCCAGACCTTTAATTTCTCTTACTTGTGTTCATTCTGAGGTTTACTGGCATTCTACTATCGTTACACACTAACAGTTTCCGTTCCCAGGCAACTGTCTGTACTACGCCCTGTCCGACCAAATGTACGGGAGCCCAGACCATGCCGACCAGATTCGTCTTCAGCTTGCAGATCATATTGCTGCTCACAGAGATTATTTTATAAACTTCATAGTCGCCGCCGGTGGAGAGCGCAGAGCTCCTAGACGAGCAGCTGCATCCAGATATTCTTCTTCGTCCAGATATTCTTCGTCCTCGTCTTCGTCCGCAAGCCCGGCACCTCCCTCGTCTGAGGACATCGAACGCAGCTTCGAGTCGAAATTGGAGGGTTGTCGAAAGAATGGCACATGGGGTGGCTCCGAAGACATTCAAGCATTTTGCCAGTCATTCAAAGTCGACGTTCGCGTCTACAGCACGAAAGGCATTCAGACATTTCGAGATGTTTATGCTCCGCGCAGCGAGGAAAGGGCAATTCTCCATGTCGCTTTTCACGTAAGTCAACTGATTGTATTGGTCGCCAATCGTCGATCTACTTTGCGAATATTCGACTAATCTTCCCGCTCTGCAGGACTTTAACCACTACTCTTCAGTGCGGCATGTGGACGGCCCTCATACCGGACTGCCACTTATCCCAAAAGATTTGAAATCAGCTAATCGAACTTCGAACATCTCGCCACCTTCCTACGCTGGAGCAAAGCGCTCCGCTGATGAAAGTGAGGATGAAGACCCCCGCCCGGCTTTTCGCCGCAAGAAAGTCCAAGTTGGGGCACCAGAGAACAAATTGACCATGAAGTTACGCAGTCGGTCTTCCTCGCGGGCCTTGTCTCCTTCTCTTGTCAGCACAAAGCGCTCCGCTGATGAGGCTGCGAATGAGGATTCTCGCCCTACCCTTGGATCGAAGCGCTCCGCTGATGAAAGCGAAGATGAAGACCCTCGCCCGGCTGTCCGCCGCAAGAAAGTCCGACTTGGGGCACCGGCTAACAAATTGACCATGAAATTACGCAGTCGGTCCTCCTCGCGAGCCTTGTCTCCTTCACCTGCTAGCATGAAGCGCTCCGCTGATGAGACCGTGGATGAGGATCCGCGCCCTTCCCCTCGAAGGCGGAGACTCCGCAATCGCATTAGCACTTAAGAAACAAGGCAGCTCATGCAGCTCATGCAGTCATGAAGTGCTGTCTGAGCTGTCTCTTTCCACTACATTGAGTACTTCATCTGTTTGGATAAGGTGACAATTACCTCTTCCGGCTGTTCGACATGACAGTCTGCAATAAGTGGCACTTGCCGTACAGGATATCCTTCATCTGCACTCATCCACAAATGAACAAGTACCATGGCCCCGTACCAGGCGGCGCATGGCCTCTACTACGATATGAAACTCGTGATTCCCGAAGATCACGGTTACTGAGGGGCACATCGCCCCGACACCCACACACGAAGTTACGACATATTCCACATTACTGGCTTTCTATCGCCTTTTACTCATTTGCATTGGGAGCAGGTTGGATCATTTCAGGTTGCTTTTGAGCATAAGGTTCACGCTTGCTACTTAGCGCTGGGCGGTTATTCACGTTATTTGAGTGGCTTTTTTCGATGATCTGGTTATCATCGTTGTCAACTCTGGTGGCTTTCGATTTCGCTGCGGGTTTTACTGCATCAATACACGATACCCCCATGGCAAGGCGTTTCTCTATTTCTTTCCACTTTTCTCTGCATCGGGTGTTGACATAATAAACTGGCTTGGTTTGGCTTGAGCGAATCTTGTCCGTTCATCAACATATTAGAATCAAGCATTTGAGGGTGCCTGGTGCACTCCTCCTTCAGATGGCTCTATGTTCCATTTGCTTCTCTTTTAAGGAAACCGCCGTCGGTTCGGCTTGTGTTAATGGTACACGCTCGACGGGTAATCTGGGTTCAGCAGCAGCTTTGCCATACGCATGATTAAGCAACCGGAAGCTTGTAGAGAT